ACACTACCAATTTATATATTCTGTGGTGAAGTGATTTATGACATATATACAACTTGCTAAAAATGTGTGTAATTAAGTGAAATGTCTATGATAAACTGACACAATTTTAGAGATATAACTTCCTCCAATCCAAAATGAAAACATGCTGTATTTAGTAAAAATAAGAACAGGATTTATGTATGAATTTAAAAAGTAGTGATAACAAAACAATAGAAATTCATGAGTGTGAGCAGGAGAGGGTCAGAGAGCTTAAGAGGCCTGACAATGAAGTTATTAAAAATTCTGCTCCATAACTCTTGCTTCACTGACTAATGCTGTGTTTGCAACCAAAATAATTGGATGAAGAAGAGAAACATTTGGCCAGCTGCCAGATGTTCTGTCATCATTTATGCGCACCCTGTGACCATGAACTACAAGACGTGAGGTCTGTCTATAGTTAGCTTTTTTTACTTAGCTGGTTGGTTGTTTTTGAGACAGGGCTTCTGCAGCCTTTAGAACTCAGAAGCAGCATTAAAAGGGGTCATCAATGCTTTGGCAGGTTCAAACTGAATGGTCTGCCTGTGTCAACACAGCCAATCTCAGCCATCTCTCATGTGATGAAGTGAAACTAAAGATAACTAGAAAAAAAAATAAAAAGAAAGAAAGAAATTGACAAAATAAGTAGATTTTAATATTTGAGGAAGGATATTTAAGGACCAATATCTAAGGTCTCCAACTTTTTTTTTCTTTAGAGGTTTTTGCTATAGGGCACATGCTCTCTCCAGAAAGACAGAGACAGAAAGCGAGAAATCACCCCCCAGGGAGGATGGCCACACCGTAATTCCTTCTCCTCCATTCTCCTCGGGATCTTGGGCACGCACGCACATGTGCCCGGCATGAGTTTTAAGCCACCGGGTCCAGAATGCGAACCACGGTCGACTAAGTGCTAACTGCAGGTCCCTCATTTCTAAAGAAAATTTATTTTGTCTCAGAAAAAAGGAACACAACTCTAATACATTTTTCATGATGAGAGCCAGAAGATCAACTTTGGGGTTTTCACAGTTCTCTTTTTTGCCGTAACACCTGTTGTTCTATTTGGTGCTACCCTAAGAAACACTGAAATTAATTTTCATGACTTCAACATGTTAAAGTATCCTGAAATAGCCTGTAGCTGACTGAACACTATGAGTACATTAACTGTTTTAATGAAAACAAGAATGTACCACGCTCCACAGTTCATCTCTCCATGGAGGAGATTTTTGGCCAGCTTTGCTCTTTTGCCTATCCCTGAAGTATCACATTTCAAAACACAGTAAGGAGGCTGGTGTGCCAATCCAAATTTTTCCCTTGAAATGCACATCATGTGTAAAATTTCAAAGGTCAATCTCTAGACTTTGTGCTTTTAAATTACAATAACAGGAAAATGAAATGAAAGCATCTAGCCTGTCAAAACCTTAGAAGCATACAGAAACATTTTCTGAGAGCATGGGGAAGCTTTATTCAAGGTACTCATTGAATGTTCATTATTTTTCCAGTAGTATCATAGTATTTTGTTCAAAGGAAATACATAATAAATATTAGTGGAATAAGTGCATGATTAAATGAATGAATAACTAAAGACTACAAAGAATGAAAAGGACACAATCCCTTACCACAAAGAAATTATAGTCTAATAAGGAAGACATATAATATTATAACTAGAAGACAAGGTGATTTCTATAAAGAAAATACAAAGTTCTAAGAAAGCATATAAAAATTAGTAAATACATCTACATAAAATTGAAAAGGTCCATGAAAGGAATGATAAAGATATGCAATTCTAACCAAGTTAGAATTAAGGAAGGGTCGAGCCAGACTGTTGCATGGTGTTAAAGTGGCTAATTCCACATGGCTAACTGCACAGTTGGAGTTCCATACCTGACAGTTTGGGAAATACACCGTGTGTGTGTGTGTGTGTGTGTGTGTGTGTGTGTATGTGTGTAAATCTCAAAAGGAGGAAGAAATGGAGAAGTGACTGAGGCATAACAATTCCCCATAGGAGGTGCTTTCTCTCTCTCTCTTTCTGTCTCTCTGTGGAGAGTGCAAACACCTTCTGGAAATTTTTAAAACAAAACAAAAAATAGAATTAAGGAAGGGTCATGTTTCTAATCTCTGGAAAAGTAGATAAGAAAAAGGTATAGTGACTATTAATTTTTAATCAGAAGATTTTTTTTTCTCTTCTTTTGATAATAAATCCTATACCCATATTGCCTGACCACGGTGTCAACTTTTTTTTTTTTTTTT